GTACTAATCTGATGTTGTTGGAAATGTGTCTGTTTCTCATGAAGCCGGATTGAGTCTCGTCAATTATGTTGTCCAAGACAGTTTTTATTCTTTTAGCGAAAATCAGAGCAAATATTTTATAATCATTATTTAGTAAACAGATTGGACGCCAGTTATCAATGAAAAGTGTATCCTTCTTTGGTTTTGGTATTAAGGTTATAAGGCCTTGAGTTAAAGTAGGGGGAAGACCTTTATTATCAACACATTCTGAAAAAAGTCCAAGAAGGAAAGGTGCTAACTGTTTGGAGAATGCTTTATAAAATTCAGAAGTAAGACCGTCTGTCCCTGGGGATTTGTTGGATTTGAGGTGTTCGATGGCAAATATAATCTCTTGTAATGTTAATGGTTTGTCGCAAGATTCTTTCGATTCAGCATCAATTCTTTTAGTTTCTGTAAGAGAATCTAAAAACTGACAGATAGATTCTTCACTAACTTTGGATTCGTATAATTTGGTATAAAAGTCTGAGCAATATTTAGAAATTTTACGAGGGTCATCTGTGATATCTCCATGAATATGTAATTTTTGTATAGTATTATTTTTAGCATGAAATTTTTCAAGTCGAAAGAAATAGGCTGAATTCTGCTCCCCTTCTTATAACCATCTTCTCCTGCTTCTCACAAAAGCCCCTTCAGCCTTTCGTCTATAAAWGTCATCCAACTTATTTTGTAGATTGATTAAATTATGATTTTCACTTTCAGTTACATTTTCTGGCTTTTTTTGTGTTACTGATGTTATTTCTGAGACTAGATTTTCTTCTTCAACTTTTTTTGCCTTTGCATATGAACTTCCATATGCTCTGAAAATTTTTGATAATTCAAATTTTAATAGTTCCCAATTGCTAGAAAAGTTTTTTTCCGCTAAAGATTTATTCCAAAAACGTTTGATAAGCAAATGAATCATTTTAATAACAGCGTCATGATTTAGGATAGAGCTGTTCAGCTTCCAATAGGAACCTCTATGTTGAGTGCTGGGATTTGGAGAGATTTGTATTAATATTGCTTTGTGGTCTGTTAAGGGAGTAGTAAGGATGTTAACATTAATAACATTGCTATCAAAACAATTGGAAATTAACCAAAAGTCTATGCGTGATAAACTAGTACGTGCTTTATTGCTCCAAGTATATGAATTAACATTAGGATTCTTTTCTCTCCATATATCAGTTAAATTAAATTTGTGCATAAACTGTATGAGATTAGAAGC